GATGGCTAACAGGCTCACCCCAGGTCACCAGCCAGGATGGTTTGGACCCTCAGCCCGGATTCTTCTGCCTGTGGACCCAGGGACCCTTTCCTCCGCAGACGTCCCAGCTGGGTCTGCAGCGTGGGCGTGGGGCTTGGGGGCAGCAGGAGGTCCCAGCAGGCTCGCCCCCTCGTCTGCCCAAGGCTGAGGCCCAGCTCTGGGGGCGCACTCTGCTATGCGGACGCCTCCACCTTCCTCCCCACTGAGGACCCCAGAGGAGGGATGGCTGGAAACGTGCTCCCCATCCGAGCCTGCTCCCCCTCCGGGGGCCGGGGCTGGCCTGAGTGCTCTCCTCTTTGGGTGGGTGGCGGGGAGGGGGCTGGCTTCACTGGGCTCCGCTGGGCCCTGGGTGGGGGGGGCACAGGCGGCATTCACGGGGTTCCTCACCAGCCCTTGGGCCATTGTGCTGCCCTCCCGGCTGCCAGCCATCCTTCCACCTTCTGAAATGCAAATCCGACTCCGTCATTCTCCTGCCAGCAGCCCTTCCCTGTTCCCACGGCTCCGGGGGTGAAGGCCAAACTCCTCAGCAGAATGTGCAACGCCCCCCCCCCCCCCCCCCCCCCCCCCCCCCCGCTTCCCTCCTGCGCTCCGTGGCCCCCGGGCCCCAGCTGCCCCGGTGCCGTTTCCGGCTCTGGGGGGGAGGTGGCGGCTGCTGGTTCCCTCGCAGGAAGAGCCGCCTCCCCACGGGCTCAGCCTCAGCCCCTCGTTCCTTCTTCTGGGCGAGTGGGGGGAACAGCCTGTTCCTGACCCTGTGGCCACTGCCCCCCGCACACCATGCCCCTGGGCCTCTCCCGCGTGGGCCCTCGCCACCCTGGTGAGGGGCGCTCGGCCAGACTTCTGCCCACTGGGGGCCCAGCACCTGGGCAGGTGGGTATTGGGCAGGGAAGGAATTTCCTCCAGGCCCACAGAGCTCAGCCTAGCTGAGAGACAGACTCGCAAGCAGATGAAGTACCCCTTGATGCTGTGCGCACAGTGCCTTCCTCCCTCGGTGCCCGGCACGCGGCAGACGTGCAGGAAATCTCAAAGCACACGGAATGAACTCGCGTTGTGAGAACACAGAGAAAGGAGGGGCTGACTGCAAAGAGCTTCTCAGCAGCGGGGCCGTGTGGGCTGGCTCGGTGGAAAGGACATTCCTGGCTGGGAAACAGCTCGTGCAAGGGGCCAGCTGGAGGTGGGGAAGGGCCTCGTGTTTCTTAAAAGGCCGGGGGATGGGGGCCGAGCTGGGTAATGGAGGGAATGCAGGATGCCCCGTGGAATCTAAGTGAATCTGTTGAGCAAGGGGAGAAGGTGTGTGTTTACGGAGGTGGGGAGGAGGACCCAAGGGCCTGACGCTGAGGGAGACGAGGAACAGGGAGGAGAGTGCTGGCCATCCCACTGGATCTATCCTTCTCTTCTTCCCTAGTAACAGGCCCTCTCACTTTTATTGAGCATATTGCCATCTAGAATAAAAGACAACATTTCCAGGCTCCCTTGTAGCTGGATGTGCAACTATGTTCTGACCAACAGGATATGAGTGATGTCATCAAGTGACGGGATGCCCCTTTCTTCCTTCCTTCCTGCTTGCTGGAATGCATGTGTTGTGGCTGGAGCTCAAGCAGCCACTTTGGGCCGTGAGGCCTTGTGTTCAGGAGAGGGGAGCAACAACAAGAGCACAGGTCTTTGAAAATCACGCAGCTGCCGTATTTTACCGGTACTGCTTTCCTTGGGGCTTTGGAAACTTCTAACGTGTTTGGGTTACTGTCATTTGGGGTGTTATACTCCAGCCCGACCTAAGTCTAACAAATGGAAGGATGGCTCGGATTCTGAAGAATCCACTGAGACAGAATGCACAGAGCTTGGCTGCTAATTTGATGGGGGGGCAGGGGAATGAGAAGGGAGAGTCAAGCCTCCCTCTGAGATCCTATCTTGGGAGGCCGGTAGAATCCTTCACTCAACATGCATTAAGCACTTTTTTGTGTGCTGGGTACTGTGTTTGCTGTGCGAGTATACCGGTGGATCCCATGACCACTGTCTTCACGAATCTCTTGGTCCCGTGGGGGACAGAGGATACAACGGAAGAGCACCGATGGAGGGAGGTAAGCACCTCACCCGAGAGCTGCTGGGCCCCTCATTTATCCATTCTGCACAGTTATCGAGCACCTACTGTGTACCACACACTGTGTTAGGCCTTGAGAGCAGCAATGAGCGTCACAAACTCAGTGTGGAGTTTACCTTAGAGAGTCTGATAGGGGAGTCAGACAACAATCAAATAATCTTGGCTTTACACAGAGAAGCAGAGCTCTGCTGAGTGAATCCCTGCTGAGCGATTATGCCAGGGGCCGCAGGAGGCCCTGGGGGGATTCGTGATGCACCAGCCACATCTGGGCTGGGCATCTCCAGGGGGCAAGGGCTGCTGGCTCTCGTAGGGCAAGGCACCGTCCCCGGCACGTCCACCACCTTCCTGCCCCCTAACCCCAGGCAGCAGTGGACAGCAGATGGGGCCTGGCCAGAGGGAGTCTGCGCCGACTGGCCATGGGGGCGTGGCTATTCAGGGGAGGCTGAGGTGGTGGTTTGGGCTGTGGTGGGCAGGGATGGACATGGAGAGGAGTGGACAGACGTGAGCCGTACTTGGGAGGTCGTCAATAGGATTTTTTGTTGAAGGATTGGAGGTGGTGGCGAGGGGGTCACGGATGACACTCCCCACCCAGGTGTCCGGCCTGTGCACACGATGTTGGGGTGGGTGAGGAGGCCTGCGGGTGAGCCTGCTTGGGAGGGGAGAATTGTGTCGTTTAAAACACCTTTTTTTAATTGGGGTAAAATACATATAACAAAAAATTCTCATTTAACCATTTTAAAGTGTCCAGTTCAGGGGTGTTAGGCACATTCACATTGTTGTGCGAACATCACCACCATCATCTGCAGAACTTTTCCATCTTCCCAACGGAGGCTCTGCCCCCATTACACGCTCACTCCCCTCCCCCTCCCCCAGCCCCGGGCACCCACCCTCTGCTTTCTGTCTCTATGGACCTGGCTCCTCCAGGGACCTCCTAGGACTGGAATCACACAGTATCTGCCCTTCTGTGTCTGGCTTATTTCACTGAGCATCCTGCCCTCGAGGTTCCGGCTCCGACACCTGAGAGGCTGTGATCCCCTGGGGTGGGACCGCTGGCCAGGGGCAGGTTAGGGGGCAAAGGTAACTCAGAGCCGGGCTAGGCCGAGTTTGAGGCACCTGAGGCACACGTGTGCAGACGTTCACGTCGACATTTCGGGTCTGGGTGGGGTCCGGTTGGGGTCAGAGCCTTGGGGACGCCCACGTCTAAGAGACCGTAGGGGAAGGGCTGGTACAGGCCGGGAGAAAAACCATGTCGACGGGGAGGGTGTGGGGAAGGGGCCACTGCATCCCCAGCTGCAGAGAGAGCGGCCGTCACAGAGCTGAGCGGGGTGGGGTGCGGGGGGGCCCTGTGAGACCGGCTGACAGTGGTTGAGGCTCCTACTAGCAGGGACAGCGGCTTTCCGCCGCTTCCGTGAGCTGCGCCCATGGCCCACCTACCCCCAGGCTTCCCGGCTTTCACTCCCTCAAAGCCGGGCCGGAGGGGAGGGCTGGGGGGCTGCCTGAATGGCCGCCCCAGGGAGCTTTGGCACACATGGGGCCCTCTGCTTTGAATCCCAGCCTGTTCTGGGCTTCATTAACGAATAGCTCAGGGGCACCCCCTCTCCCTGTTCAGAAAGGACACAGCACCATGGAAACGTCCCCCAGATTCCCCAGGCAGGCACTGCCTAACGGGGCCACCTTCTGGGTTGTCGCTGCCCGGCAGGGCTCCCAGGATAACGGAAGGCGATGGCCAAAGGCCATTGGTTGGCGTCCAAGCAAAGAAACACGGACCCGTTCCTCCTCCCAACATTCATGCTCTGACCCCAACAGCAGCTAAGAGAAACCAGGGATTTGCATTCTGACACCTTCCCCCCTTAGCCTGCGATTTTGAGGAACCTCATGTCTAGAATCATCTTGGCGGAGGCCTGGGGGTCACTCTCGGCTACCAGCCTTTAAGGAGGCTCACGTGCAGACCAAGCTGGGCTCCACCTCTGAAGTGAAGAGAGCTGCCAACAGCAAGGAAGGCCAGTGGCACGAGTGGGGAGAGGGATCCCACGTGTTTGTGCACAAGTACGTGTCCACACGTTTACACCTTCCTGCCGGCTCTCCTCCTGCTGGGTGAAGGCCCGAGGGGGGACAGTCCTCCGTTCTCCTCTCACCAGCTCCAGCTGAGACCCCCACCCCTCCCCCCTTGAGGCTGCCTCTCTGCTGCCAGGCCCCAGCCTCACGGGAGAGTAGGTGGCAGCAGGCTTGTGGCCGGGCTAAGGGATTGATGAACCCTGCTCTCCTCTGTCACAACCTCTTCAAGGGCCAACCAGCACCTCTGAAAGTGCCAAGTCTTCCAAGTGACCCATTTGCCCGTGACAAGACACACGGTGATCCGCTCGGGCCAGTGCTGGAGCCAACAGACCAGTCCCCGTAGGGGCGTCAGACAAACTCGAGGGCCCAGCAAGCAGCCGCCTGCGAACAAAGCCACAGGTGCACCTCGTGCTGCGATTTTCCAACAAAATAGTGGAAAACCATTATTTTTCCAGAAGTCAACTATTTTGGGCTCATTCACATCCGTCTGAGTCCCCAGTAAATGATTCCTTCCCGGCTCCTAAAACAAAAACTAGAATTGGGGGAAATACTCCCTCATTTTCACTTCTCGATGCTCAAGTCCTCACTGATGGACAAGGAAGAGAAATTCAAAGACAGATGCACGAGTTCCCGCACGGCGGGGAGCTGGCCGTGGGACCCTGCCCTCCGGCCGGCTCTGCGCGCCCAGGGCTGTGCCATGAGCAAAGCAAAAGCCAGGAGCCCAGAAGCCCGGGGTTTGTGCGGCATGAGCTACGGCAGTGGCGCACCCAGAGGCCAAGAAAGGTCACGCGTTTATAGGGCAATCCAGACAGACCCTGCAAAACAGCTTTTATTTACAAAGGCCAACGATGAGTAGCACAGAGGGCAAAGCTTATGCCTTCCGAGAGACTTGCGTACAAATTACGCGTAGGTCAGAGTGTTCCTAAATACAGAGGTCAAAGACCAGCGAGTCCACCACTTGCTCCTGCAGCCACCTGGTGGCTTCACATTTCAACTCCCAGATGTGGGTTCTCTCGCTTCAAAGGATGTGTACCCGGCGTGATCAGCTGCTAACAGGCCCTTGGGAGCTCGGGGAGGTCCTCACCTGGAGCAGCTGCCGGCCGGCCCCGGGCAGGTCTGAGTGTCCACTCTCCAGTGCTCAGAATTTCTGAGCCACACGAGAGCAAACATTGCTTCCAAAACCACAGCAGGGGTTTGAGTTGGCTTAGACGGCTTCTCGTGGAATTTAAATTCTATTCAGCTCTTGAAGGTGAACGGGGCTTTCCGCACAGGGTATTTATTACTTAAAAACGAAGCAAAGCTCTGCAGCTCTCACGCTGGTTGCTCTGAGCTAGGTGGCCGTCCTTTTCCTAATGCCATCGGTCTTTTTGCTGGGACGAGGGTTCTGGTCTGTCTGCAGGGCGGCCGGGCCCGTCCAGAGGGGCAGCAGAGAGGCAGGCAAACAGAAGGCAGGCCCTGTAGGCCCCAGGCCCCTGTCCCGCCCCGCACTGTGCTGCTCCGGCAGCCCCAGAACCCCAGCCCCGAGCCGTGGGCCCCGCAAGCACGCTGGGCACCTGGCATTCTCCAGGGAACAGATCCACACGGCGTCAGAGGGTCACAGCCTTGAGTTAAGTCATTTACTGAGGTGTCTTCAAGGCTGCTTACTTTTACTAGATCAACATCACTGGGCCCAAGGAGCACAGGCAGACGAATGTACGTATCTGCAATTCTCAGGAGCATTTTCTTGGAAAACTCAGGTCCCGGGGCTGACCTTGCCCATCCCAGCTCTGCCGACGGCCAACCCGCTGCACACACGGCCTTTTCCTCCAGGACCAGGCGAGGACGTCCCGACAGTGGCCCATCCGTCATAGGTCCCCAGAGCCCTGGGCTCCTGAAAGCAAGGAGTAATGCAGAAATGCCCGTTTTTGAATGGGGTGGGGGGGGGAGAATGACCCCCTGGGGACCTGCAGGCCGCGGGCATCGCCTTCATCACCCTCTGGGTGCCTGACTGGTGGACTGGCTCCTCCAGGCCTTTAGCTGAGCCGGCACCCAGAGGAGGAACGGACCCAGTGGATGAAACAAGGCAAAGGTCAGCAGTGAGTTCACCCGAGTTAGCCATCAGTCCAGCGGGGGAAACAGAAGAAAAAACGGACTTGGAAACTCACAGGCCGAGTAAAGAAAACATGACACAAGCCTGGCCCCCTGGCTGAACTTTTTTCAACCCCCCGTATGACCGGCACCTAAGCGGTGAAAGGGGCTGGCGGGTCCCCCGCCTGACTCCGGGTGGCCGGGGCTGGGAGATCCCTCCGCCTCTCTCACGGGACAGGGCAACACAGCTCCTCCTGGCCACACGCCTCGCCCGTGCTGGAGCCGGGAGCCTCTGACCGCTGTGAGGAGGGCCCAGGAGTTTCTGAAAGAAGGACAAGTCTGAGCCGGAGCCCCTGAGGTGCAACACGGGAAGGGCTGCCGCGCCGTCGGGGCGCCGGGGGTCCCGCTGGCGACGCGGAGGCGGAGGGGTGGCCCGGGACTAAGCTCTCCCTGGTGCGCAGGGCCCTCCGTTCGGGCTGAGAGCGAGAGTTCTCGCATCAGCTCTCCCGAGGCGCGCTGCCTGTCCTGGAGCTGGTGGCCGAGTGGCGTCAGCGCCGATGAAGCAGCCCTCGCCTGCACGGCCGCAGGTGGCCGGAGGTGCCCCGAGAGGACGTGTCTCGGCCGGGCCCCCTGCTGCCCCGCAGCCCGGGCAGGTGTGTCTGTCCGGCATGAAGACCACCGGGGGTAGGGGGGACGCGGGCCTGCAGCCGGGGCTGCAGAACGTAGGCGACCCCTTCCCAGAGATAAAATAGAGGCATTCGGGGTTCCCTCAACAAACAAACAAACGGGCAAAACGAAAGAGAAAAACCGGGGACGGAGGTGAGGTGTCAGTAGGTGCTGTTCTCCTCCCCACAAGATAAGTTCCTTTCCGGTCTGAGTGCTTCTGTCCTCTGAACCTAACCTCGCCCGGACGGGGCATCGCCACGTGCCGGGCGACCGCAGGGGCCTAGGGCGGGGAGGCGATTTTCTTCGTGGGCACAGGCGGAGCTAAGACGATCTCGTCGGAGTCATCGGAGTTCACGTCCTCCGCGGGCGGAGTCGCGGCGCGCTGCGGCCCCGAGGGAGGGGGCTCCGCTGCAACAGAGAAGGGCCGGCGGTCACAGCCGCGCTCAGCGCCGCCGGGGGCGGACACGCGAGGGACGGCGGGGCAGGCCTGACGGACGCCACGCCACGCCACGCCACGCGGCCACCCTCGTTAGAGCCTACTCGCACCCTCTGCGCTCAGCTCCCAAGCGTCGGCCAGTTTCCCCGAAGCAAAACAGCCGCGAAAGGTGAAGGCTGGCGGCACGGGGGAGGCTCCAGTCGGCGGCGGGGATTCTCTGCACGGCGCCCTCATGGTAGCGTGCGTCCGGGAGTCTGCGGCCCGGGAGGCCGGCTGTGACTCGTGGGCAGATGCAGCCGGTGGCCCCCGGCTTCCTTGGGAGGACACGCCCCCCGCAGGAGGAGGGGGCGGGCTAGGCCAGGCCAACACCCAGGGACCACCCGCGAGCTCTCGCTCCTTTCTTCACGCACATCTAAACCTATTCATCGTAATCGACCCTAGGTTGGGATGCGCCTGCCGACCACCCTGCAGACCCCCTGCGCCCTCAGTGGCCACCTGGATGGGATGTGAGGAAGGGGCAGTTTCCCCTGGGGCCTGGGGCCCGTGCTCCCAGCCCCAGAAGACGGCCTCTGCTCTGACTGCTTCACAGAGTAAAGTGCCAATAAAAAAGGAACCAATCCCTGACTTGAGATAAAAGAAGGAAGGAAATCACCACCCCGCGTGCTGCGGATACTGTAACTGTGTCAGCTTTTTTTCTGTAACTGTCAAGAAGACTATGAGAGTGGAAAAACTTATGAAATTAAAAACAGCAGTTTTCAAGGTTAGCTTCAGTTTTTCTTTCCCTTTAAAAACACTTTCACAATCAGATCAAACAAGGGCTCCATGTGCAGTTTTCACAGAGACCGTTTCCTCGTGTAAACAAGGGCCCGAACGAGGCCGGCGGTGGCACTTTTCAGGCAGGAGGATGAGCTGCCGCTTTGAAAGGACACGCATTTAACAAGAGGAGAAAAGGGCGGCATACACAGGCCCTTTAGCCCTGATCGAGGAATCTAAAGGTCGCCAGACGTAGGGTCTGGTGAAATCCGCCTGAAACTGGTTTTGGGAGAATAATATGCAGCCTTTGGAGAGCTTTACAGACGGAGGTTTTGGACAGAACCTCAAAGTTCAAAGTTCGCTCTGACAAAGCCAGACAAGATTACCGAAGAGGACAGAGTACGATTTTTCACACGTGGCGGTTTCCAGGTCAGGCAAGCCCCGGAAGGGCCCCCGCGACCCGACACTCACCAGAGCAGGGCAGCGGGGCTGCCGGTGCCCCTGGCCCCCATGGCCTCGGCGCTCCGTCCCCAGGAGCCGGAGCCTCCGCGGTCTCCCCGCTGCTCCCCTCGCTGTCTTCCTGCCCTGAAACGACAGGCACGTGGGAGGCTCCCATCCTCACAGGCTCGTCGCACCCACCCATCTTCCTAGGCGCACACTTCTGTTCAGAAAAACTGCTCCTTTTACAGTTCTCCCTCGTTACGAAGCACCACGCCCTTCCTGCACCTGCCCTTCTCCGACTGCGCCTCTGCGACCTCAGAACTCAGCCCGCGCGCCACGCTCGCAAATGAGACTCAAGAGTACGCTGTCTAGTGACAGTCCCCAACCTCACGCCGCCACCTCTGTGCCCCCTCTGGCGTACAGAGATGGTCCAAGCAAGTGTCCCGGTTACAGTCTGAGGGAGGAGGACCTGAAGTACAGGCAGAATCATACATTTGGGGACTGAAAGCGACTTGCAAGGGGCCCTGCCCAGCCCTCGGGCTCTCGCACAGGAGGAGTGAGGCCCGGGGAGGACCCCGAGTCTGGAGTGGGGCAGAGCCGGGACCGGGCCTCACCATGGGCTGTGCGCCCCTGCCAGTCCAGGGATTTCTCCACTGACTGTTACTGGATCTTAATGAAGCAGAAGAGGAAATACAGGCAAAGTTTTACTTAAAACCAACAAACAGGAAAAACATTGGCCCAAAGGAGGGACACCGCGTTGCTCTAGTTAGAGCTGAGAATAAAAATCAAAACCACGAAGCTCCGGCGGCGTGGGTTGCGGTCACCGACCCCGGAACCGGCCAGCCTGTCGGGCTCCGGGAAGTCGCTTGGGGCCGGCTCTTTCCCCTACGACCCAAGGGACAGGGGACGGAGCTGTGACAGGAAGGTGTGGCCGAGGCGGTACCCAGCTCGCAGGTGGCCGTGGGACGAGCCCCCTAACACGACTTTACACGTCCCAGCTTCCGGGACGGTGGCAGCTCTTTTGGTTGAAACCTCAGAAGGCCAGCTGCCCCTCGCGTGAAATCCAAAATGAAATGCAATTACCAGGAGAGGCTGCAGGGAAGGGCGGAGAGGAGGGTGCACTGTGTGGGGCCCAAGCAGGTCTGTCGGGAAACGCTGCAGGGGCAGCTCGTGGACCAGCAGCACTGGGGGAGAGAGAGAGACTAGCTGATTCTGACTTTAGGGAAGGCCAGCGTCGTGCGAGGCCGACGGGCCCAGGTCCTGAGACATCGTGCGAGGCCGACGGGCCCAGGTCCTGAGACAGGCGGGCTGTGAGGGGCCTCGGGCGTGTCCCCTGCACCCCTGGCCGTGGCTGGCTGCACCAGGGACGGGCCCCAACCCGAGCTCGGCCCCTGGCCCGCTGTAAGTCCCACTCTTTGCCCGAGGTGACTCATACAGGGTTCTGAGCCGTTGCAGCCGGGACAGTCCTGACCAAGCCCCGGCGGATCCGGCAGGCACGGCGCCACTGACAAGAATGTGTTGCTGCAGCAAGGCTTCTGACGACACCCACGTCTTCCTGAACACGGGTCATGCCATGGTGTCCTTCAGGAAGGGGCAGGGCATCGGCACAGGCCGACAGGCAGTCTGCAAACCGAGGGCTCCCCGAACCCCACGCTATTAACCCCTCCCATCTGTTTTCTCCCAGCAGGAGGAACGGTCCTAGAAAGGCTTCTTTCCGAGGACCGGAGCCTGTGGCCCACCTCACCCGGTGGGTGGGTGTAGCTTACGCTCTGGTGACACACCCTGTGCCTTTCCGGCTGGGCAGCCCCCGCAGGTGTCCGGCACTGCCCCGCGATACAGAACAGAGGTAGGCCTGCCAGGTGGACTTACCTGTGCCTGGCCCGTGCCAGGTGTGCCCGGAAAGCAGACTGGATGATGGTGATGGCCTCCTCTTGCCACGGGTCCCCCTCGGCCTGGACGACGGGGCTCGGGACGCGGGGCTCGGGCGAGTCCTGGGGCAGCGACGGTGGGGAAGAGAACCGCGTGAACCCCCGCCACCTCCTGCGCGCGGATCCTCGGCGCCGGGTTAGGAGCGCGGTTCCGACTCGGGTGCTGCCTCGTTACTATTTCATCAGCAGTCTCCTGACTGCAGGTTACTTGGACTCTAGAGGTTCTTAGAATCGGTGTCTGGGGGTTTTCCCAGGGGAGGGACTCCTATCTTTGCTGTAGTTTAAGCCTCTGTCTTGACCCCAAGATGGACACGGTACTCGATGTCCCAGCACCTCAACGCCATTCGGCTCCTGAAGCTCAACCCTGGGGGAGGGCACGGGTGCCAGGGGTTGGAGGGCGAGGCACACGCCCAGGGCGAGGCAGGACGCGAGGACCCAAAGGCGTCTACGCTTGTCCCGCCGACAAAGCGTGGGAAGAAATGGAGAGAGAACGTTAGGACTTGGGCCCGTGTGCAGCCCCTGAGGGTTACCTGGGTGGGAGGGCTTGGCATGGCAGGGGGGTCCGGGCTGCACACTCCACTAGACGATGGCCTCGCCCGTGCCGGATGCGCCCGGAAAGCCGCCTGCAGCACGGCAGCCTAGCGGGGGCAGCGGGGTGGGGGGTGGGGGGAGACGGAGACGGGTGTCAGTTTCCCTGGAAGACGGCAGGCACGGGTTGGGGTGTCCCAGAGGGAGAAGCTCCAACGGCCGAGAAGAGGGCTCCCTTTCTGCCGCAGAATCTCGGCAGTGCCTGAAGGAGCCTCTCTCCCTCACTCGCCACAACCTCCTACAGCGAGAAACACGCCGCTGCTCTGGGAAGGAGCAGGCCCTGTGAGACGCTATCACATTTAGCTGCAAACGTGATTCCACATTTTACACGTAGTTATGTTTTCACGCTGAGATCGTTTATTCCGTGTTGGCATAGTTATTCCACTCCATACGCTTTCCACGTACAACTTCTAAAGTCAAGTAGGGCGGAGCCTGATCTCAGACTATGACAAAGGAATTACGTATCCTTCGACCTCAATCTTAAATCATTTTCTTTAGCGATACACGTGGATGCTCTGTAAGTGCTGAGATCAACGTTCCGGATTTTAGGGGCGGCACTTTTATTTCAGGGGTCCTGCCTCTAGTCCTGAGCAGGGCTTACGGCTCCATAACGTTTAGGAGAACGACACTCTAGCACGCTGAGCCCCACCGCTGAACCTGCGTTTAGAGGTTCAGATGCTTCCATGATCACAGTCACCAAAAGAACACATCTTTGTCTTCCTTGAACGCAAAGTGAAGGAAATGCCACAAACAGGGGTTAGGAGACAACAAAGAGGCGAGAGAACATCAGTTACTAAGGACAAAATAACGCACTAAAAGCAAATGAGTATCTAGACAAACCCAGAAGGTTCCCACCACGCGGTTCACAGGAAAGCCACCGCACCCGCTGGAGGGGAGAGGGTGCTGACCGAGCAGGCCAGAAAGGGGAGCAGGCGTCCTGCACGCCATGCTGCCCACACGACAGCCCGCACGGCGGGTCTGTCATCACCCTGGAGGCTGAGGGAGGAGGGGACACCAGAGGGGAAAGGGCGGAACACCATCGACAGCACACAGGCCGCCGCCTGCTTCATAAATGTGCTCTACGGTCCTTCCAGGGACCCTCGTCCCCTCAGTCGCTCACAAACATTTACTGAATGCCGACCGCACGCCAGGCACCCCTCTAGGAACCAGGGACCTAGCAGCAGAAACACGGGATGGTCCCTGCGTCCACGAAACTTACATTCTAATGGGAGGGGCAAACAGTTGCAAAAAGGGTGAAGTATCGGGTAGGGACAGGAGCTATGAAGAAGACTAAAGCAGGGCGCGGGGCTGGGGAGTGCCGGTGGTGCAGGGAAGGTCGCGTTTCAGCAGAGACCTGAGTAAAGCCGGGAGCAGGACATGCGAGTGTCTGGAGGAGGAGCCTTCTAGGCAGAGGGCGCAGCAGGCGCAAAGGCCCTGTGGCAGGAGCAGCCTGGATATTTTCAAGGATGCCAGAGACGCCTCCAGACTGAGCGGGGCCGGAGGGGTGACCGGGGAGCAGCGCACGCAGGGCTTCAGGGAACAGCTTTGGGTTTTGTTCCAAGTGTGAGAGGAGTCATTACGGAGTGATGTGGTTTAACATTTAAAAACATCATCCAGGTGGCTGCAAAGGGAATAGGCCGTGGGAGGGCAGAGCAGAAGCTGGGGCGGGTGGGGAGGCCGGGCGAGGGTCCCGGCGGCTTAGATGCGCACTGTCTACCACATACCCTACTGTTCTCCTCTGCTCTGACCCGCATTCCGTCACACCCCTGCTCTCCTTTTCCCGGGCAAGCCACACCCTTTCCCTTACCCAGGGCTTTGTTTGCCGAATTCTCCTGCCCAGGATGCCCTTCCTCTCACTCCCCAGTTCAGTGAGTCCCTCTCCTTCTCAAGGCCCGCCCCCCCCGCAGGGACGTTCCCGGCCCTGGTGAGCAGGAACCCCACAGTGCCGTGGACGTGCCCCTAAACCCCGCTTCCATCCTGGACTGGCCTGTCTGTCTTAATGTCTGTGTCCTGAGGGCCCACAGAACTGATGATCAATAAAAGTGTGTTGAGAGAATGATGAATGACTGAATGAATTATGAAAGTGTGAAATTATCCAAGTATTTATTTGATGTTAACATCACTTCAGTATTTTAACTCAGTGCTGGGGCCTGGCCTGGGTTCGTGAAAACACGGACTCAATGACGCTTCTTCAGATCTCCACACAGTCACTTGAACCAAAGTAAAAATACGTATTTTGAAATTAGTAAAATAAAACTGGCTTACCTCGTCCAGAACGGCCTGTTTTTTCTGAAATAAGGAGATCAGTTATGAATTAACATGAGGATGAGTTTTCTGTGATACCGTATTCGTCCCTTGGTCCCTCCCCCTGCCACAGCCAACAGCGACGCAACAGCAGAGTCAGCCCCCTGCCCGCCACCCATACCCAAGGGGCTCCGGGAGAGGCTGATGGAGCTGATGCAGACCCGCCTGCAACAGCAAAGGAGGAAGCGAGCGGCCGTGACCGTGACCGGGAGGCGAATCACAGCCGAAGCCCAGGCCGCCACGGGGGCGTCTGCGGTTCCTGGCCGGCTGCACGGCAAAGTGACTCGCAGGGACCACTGAGACGGGATTGTCTTAGGCTCCATGTGAGGAAGCCCCTCCCCCAGCCAGAACTGTCCTATAACATGCTGTGTCCTCTCTGGAGGTCCACAGAGCGGCTGACACTGCCCGCTGGTGATGTTACAAAGGGGACCCCCGTGCAGGGTCTGGGTCACTGACTCCCAAGTCTGACCAGTCATCAAAATCACGGGGTGGCGGGGGAATTTCTCCGGTGCTGTCACGGTACTATGGTTAAGTGGTACATCCTCATTCCTAGAAGGTACGCACTGAAGTCTCATAACGTCTAAAACTTACTTTCAAACAGTTCTGGAAAAAACAGTACGTGCAGAAAAGAAACGTGGCTAAACGCGCGCTGTTGCTGAACCGCGGTGGGGGGCGAGAATTAGCACCTCACTGAACATACTGAGTTCTTTCAACGTTCTATGTTTTGTAAATTTTCGTCATCAAAGTTGGGAAGAAGCCATGATTAAAAAAACCCTCCACCGGCAGATTTCCGGAGCTAAGATCTTACACTATTCGGGCAGGTGGAGAGCTCCAGTTTCTGTTTGTTTGTCCAGCTGGGGGAACAAGGGTCACGTGCGTTCTATCAAACGGGGGGAGGGGGCTTTTTTGGAGCATTTCGTCATCAGAGAGCACCGTCCTTTAACAACTGCAGTCTCCGCGAGCCCCATCTCCGCGAGCCCCCCCAGGAGCTGATGAGAGGAGCCCCACTCCTCCCCCAAGAGAGACCACGGACATCGCGGCTCCCGGTCTGTCGTGCGCAGCCTGCGGCCCCTGCTGCCCTACTCAGCCCACCCCCGGGCCTGAGACCCCACGCGCAGCCCTGCTGTCCCGTCACCCACACCGCTGTCCCCTGAGGAGCAGCCCCGAGGCAGGCTCTCCCTGTTCCTGACACGACGGCCATCCCGGGAGCCCCAGCGAAGGGCTGCCATGGGGCCCGAACTGCCAGGGAGACCCCTAAGCTCAGTCCCGTGCTTGCAGGGGCGCTGCACCCACAGCCTGCGTCCCTGGGACCCATCGGGAGGTGACAGAGGCTTCCAGACCAGCCACTGCCCGGCCCGCGGCAGGCACCCCCCAGCTCGCCCACACGGGCTGCAGGCGCGGCCTTCCTCTCGCCCTCGCCGCCCGAGACCCCGGGTCTCCGGAGGCTATCTTCTGCCTCCCTACGTTTTCCTACGTGTCTAGGGCGTCTGGCATGGAGCCCGCCCCGGCAAAGGAACGGAGGAAGGGCTGGCGAGTGAGGATGTGGGCGGCAGAGGGCCGGCGGGTGAGGGAACTCTCACCCAGTGCTGGTGCCCCTTCCACCGGCGCTGCAGGAGCCGGGCGGCAGCGTCTCTTCTCCCCTCGGAGCAGCCGGAGCGGGGCCGGGAGGAGCCCCCCTCGCTCGTGTCCAGCTCCGAGTCCGTCTGGGAGGGACCGGGGGGTCGGGGCGCTTCCCGGGTCTGCAGGAAGTCCAAGGTGAGAAGGGTGACTGGGTCGGGGATGGGGGCGGAGAAGCCGGCTATCAGGCCAGGAAGCAGGATATTAGGATGCAGGCAGAGCTTCTCAGACTAGACTTTAATTTAGAGGAAAAAAATCAGTGTCCACACCGCTCAGCATGCCAGACGACAGAAGAAGTCTCTGGAGAGCTAACACATTCGCTAGTAACTAGGGTGAAAGTCGGTTTTCGTTAACCCTGTAAACTCTGGGGGTAGCGCTCTCCCGCGAGGAGGGGAAGCAACGTGACCTGTGGCGTCATCAGGTAACCACACGCACCGTCTGAGCTCAGTCACGTCGGTGCACCCGTTACCTGCTTCCCGGGAGGTCCTTTACCGGCTCCCTTTGCGTCTAATACTGGATTACAGAAATGGGACTTCTGAGATAAAAGGCAATAGATCCCTAGCTTGGTTTTTTGTTTGTTTGTTTGGCCGGACCCCGTGGCACGTGGAACTGCCCGGACCAGGGATCGAACCTGTGTCCCCTGCAGTGGGAGCGCAGAACCAGATGAATTGCACAGACAAAGCCATTACTGCCAGTTCCGGTGGACGTGGAAAATATTTTTTCTCCCTAAGGGAAAGCTCCAGGAATAAGCAGAACTCTCCAATCCACGTGTGTCGGGTGCCCCCCAGGGGTCAGGGCTGCCTGCGGCGGACAAGCCACGGGCCGGTCAGCACCGTGAGCATCCCACTGGGAAAGGAGCCTCGAGGAGGCTCTGCCCGCCACACGCCGGGCAGTCAGCGGCCCGGCGCCGCAGCCACCTGGGGCCGACAGCGCGGGCGTTTGGGTAGGTGGGGGTCTCCTGAAAAGGGCCCATCGGGCAGGGTGGCCAATCTCCTGGACAGGAGGACAGTGCCTCTGCAGGACTCAGAACACTCTCTAAAGCACTGGAAAATCTGCCAAGGAGATGCACCCACACGGGTACCACAGAAAGCCTACTTTCCTGAACAACGGAACGGACCGAGATGGACCCACACGTCCACCCCACGTGTGGCCAGCTGGACATGCGGGGTCAAGGGCACCGCACAACCCCCGGGGCTCCAGCCAGCCTGCGCCAGGACAGCCACCTTTCCTTTGCCGAATCAGTCGGCGGCCTGGGGTTTGTCTCAACTTGTCATTGGAGAGAGACATGCTCGTCAGCTTCTCCACATTCCCTTTTAGGGCTTTTCTCTTTCCCTTTTGTGCTGGGGTTGAACTATATGTAGCGTCAGATGCTAAAAGAAGGAGGGGCCTTAAAACAGGACTCCAGCTAAATAAGAAAACCTTGTAAGAGGGAGACCCGTCTAGATTTTTTAAAAAAACAAACCCAAACACTTTTCTTTTCCACTCTCAGCAGATCAGTCAACCCCGCACCTGGTATGCCCTCCCTCTCCTAGAGGCCAGTCCCCGTCAGGCTACTGGCTACCGAAACAGCAAGTCGCTTTCTGAAGCAACAGAACTTCTCGGCTAAAACACGTGCCGGGTAAAGCCTGGCCGTCCTGGTGGATTCGGCGTGTTACTCAGATCTGTAGCCAGGGTCGCAGAAGAGGGCGGCACGGCTGCCCATCTCAGCGTGCACCCACGCTGGACGCCTCGGCCAGGCTGGTCTTCCCTGTCACACACTCACACGACAGGCTCCCCTTGGGGCAAACTGCAGCCACAGGGTTTCAATACCTCAGTTATTAGTTTTTTGTGTTAACAGATGTAAGATTATAATTGCCATCTGGGGAATCCATTAGTCGGAAAAAAAAGGATTAGCGAGGAGACACACTCTCGCCACTAGAAGTTCTAGCATAGGTGGCACTGGGCCGACAGGGGCCAGAGGGCTCCCCTGGTTCAAGAAGGTGCTCAGGGAGGAGCCAGGGGAGACCCTCGCCGTCGTGTCCATAGAAATGGAGGGAGCGAGGGGACAGGGAGGAGGGTCAGCCTAGACTCACCGCCTGCCTACCTGCCCACGCGCCCTGCGGAGGGAGCTGCGGCTCCCCAGTCACCCAACCCCCGGCCTAGGGGCAGGGGCAGGGGCCGTGCCGGCCCCGGCGAGCGCCTTCCCGGCCGGCCCCGTGTCAGTGCAGACTCTGCAACTTACATTGAACCTCCCGGTTCTTCACTGAGAGTTCCAGCCTTCCCCGGGGCCTTCCCAAACTCCTTCTCGCCTTCTAACGGCAACCCTTGTTGGATATTTAAACTTTTATTTGAAGTTTGGGGAAGATCTTCACTCACCGGCTTAACTTTCTAAGACGCGAATACTAGTTTGAAAAGTCAATTAACTGATAATTAGTGCAGAACTCCAGGATTCAATACACGCAATTTATAGAAATCGACTGTGATGGTAGAAGGAAACTGGACTGTCAACGTTGGATTCAGGCAAAACTCCGGGCACGGAGACAGTCAGAACCATCAGCTCAGAGTCCCGCCATGCCGGACAGGAGGTAAAAACACAGACAACCCTACCTCCGGGCTCGTCTCCTCGGGGTCCTCCTCCCCTCCTTTCTTACTTTCTTCCAGTTCTTGAAACTTCCTGGTAAGTGCTTGAATTTCCTCCCTAAAGTGGGAAGGGAAGAAAGTGACACCTTACTTGCCATGACGCCGTGTAAGATGTCTGTACGTGACAGGAGGGGTGGCGGCCTGCAGAGCTGGCAAGGATGCCCCCCGGGAACGAGGTGGGTGCCCCGCCACCACCTGACTGCCCAGGAGCCGGCACTGCCCAGGGCGACCCCTCCGGCCCCACTCCTGACACACGGGAGGAACGGAAAAAATACCGACTGCGTGAACGGTGCACGGATATCCTTTGGGGTTTTTAACAAGCAAGGCGAGTGGAAGGAAAGACAACTCATGTACTTGCTACAGATCTCAGAGGCAAGGTAAAAATAATTCTTCACTGTACGCCCGCCCATTCTGATTGACTTTAATGCTAGGCTTCCAGCAAAGTCTAGTCACGTTTATTCTGAAGATAAAATTTGGTATTCATTTCGGTAATCCGTGTCTTACTAATTATTCTGAGCGCTAAATATTTCTGCGCAGATTTCTAACCTACTTTTTTGGGCATTTCTTACTGAGATAACATTCATATAACCCCAAACTCACTATTTTAAAATATGCGATTAAGTGGTTTTTAGTGTAGTCACGACGTTGTGCAACTATCCTCACTATCTAATCCCGGGATACTTCTGTCACCCCAGACAGGAGCCCCTTACCTGCCACTCCCTACTCTCCCCTCCCCCACCCCCCAGCAACCCCTAATCCGCTGTCTTCTCTATTAATGTGCCCATTCCAGATATGTGCGAATTGCACAGTACGCGGGCTTTTCTGTCCGCCTCTTCAGGGAGCATCAGGTTTCTGACTCATTCACGTCGTGGCAGGTGTCAGCCCTCATCCCTTTGTACGGACGTACTTCCGTTTTTACTCTCTTCACCAGCTGACGGACATTTGCCATGTGTCCACTTTTTATCTACGGTGGACAGAGGTCAAGGACGGAGCGTGGGAGGTGGCGTCTGGACCCGGGGTGTGGAATCAGGGCGCGTCTGAGGCTGCCCGCAGCGGCCGTGCTGGAGGAGGGTGCGGGCCGGGGAGCTGGCCGTGATGCCAGAGCGGCAAACACTGGCCCAACCGTGAGCAGACTTTCCCCAGAGATCGGATATTTACTCTGAGGGAAACAGCCAACCACGGGAGGACCTCAGGAGAGGGGCGATGTGATCGGGCTGGAGCTGTACGGGGCCGCTCTCGCTCTCGATGCGGGCTGAGCGCGGATGCGCCGGGGTGGGCGGGGCTGGGGAACAAGGAAGGGCCTGGGGCTGCGTGTCTTCCGACTTCGTCCACTCACCTCAAAGCCTCCTCTCTTTCTCTTCCCTCCTTCTCACCCTCCTTCATGTTTTCCAGCTCCTTCTCCAAGTCAGCCTTTGTCTGCAGTAGCTGCTTCACCTCCAGACTGAACGAGGAACCAGAGATATTTCAGCGTCATTAAAACAAAGGCTCACAGTGACCTGGGTCACCAGAGCACGAAGAGCTTTCAGAAAACGTAACGGGTCCACCCTCCTTCCTTATGCATGGATGAGGATGAAGAAAGGCCCCTCTCTGTAACTGCAGGGATCTGGGAGCAGCGCCGGGGGCGCCTGGTTATTTACTGAGCGCCTTCCGTGCGCGCGGGCAACGGACGGAGCAGGGCTGCCGGACGAGGCGCAGGCCCCGCTCTCACGGGCGTCACCGTCCCGCGGGGAGAGGCATTAACCCAGCGGTCACACAGCTGGGTGCCTAATCCGCTCCTGAGATGAGAGCTCCCAGGACCCGCCATGGACCAGACGGCGATGCAGCCTGAGCTGAGGCCTTGAAGACAAGAGGGTACCCAGGCACCTCCACCCGAGCTTGCCTGTGCCCCACAGGTGACGCCTCGCTGAGAACGTGGCTTTAAAACGTTCCACTGCTCGCCGTGGTGGTGACCTCACATGAATGAGAGACATCACCAGGAGTGTCACACGGTAAGGGCTCACCGAGTGGAAGTTATTATCGTGCCATGCGACGGCTTAAGAGATAATCAGAGATGCTATTTACCGTGCAAAATGACTGGCCTAATTTTTATAAAGAACCTGCACATGGATGCACTATTAGGCTTCGACTGGAGGTGAAAAAACAGGTGGAGTGGGAAGGGATTTGCCTTCTGCTGTGAACAGAAGGCAGCAGAGACGGGTCCTTCTCAGACCTCGACGTGCACGTGAATCACCAGGGGGCGTCTCATTAGATGCAGAGTCAGGTTCAGGAGATCTGGGCCAGGCCAAGGTAGCCAGCCCCGGGTGGGCAGGGCCCGAGGGTCTGCATCTCTAACCAGCCCCCAGCTGATGCTGCGGCCGTTGGCTTCCTAGGCCACACTCTGAGTAGCAAGGTCTCAGAAACACCATCTCAGAAGATGCATGGGTTTAGCCTGCTTGCGACAGAACTGCAACTGGAGAAGCCACACGTAAACAACGGGTGGAGGAGACAGGAGCGTTTTAAGCGGGCTACAGAGCGAGACACTAGAGAACGAAGGGCAAATGAGCAGAACCTTGAGGCTTCGCCTTCCACACTCTCATGGTCACACTGAAACTCCACGCGCCACAGCACTGTCTTGTTTGATGCACAGATTAGGTGCTGGAAACACAGCACTGAGTCTTTAACCCCTTCTGCAAGAGACCTGATGGATGGCCTGTTATCTTACACGCATCAATCACAGTCAGTGCTTCTCTGAAAAAGAATTTGGAAAGCCGTCTGGAATTCCGTGTAAAGAATCTGGAAA